TCACTAATAACTAGAGAAATGCAAATTAAAACAACTCTGATGTAATACCTTACATGCTTCAGATTGGCTAACATAATAGAAAAGGAAAATAACAAATGCTGGAGGGAATGTGGAAAAAATAGGGACACTAATGCACTGTTAGTGGAGCTGTGAGCTGGTCCAGTTGTTCCAGAGAACAATTTGGAACTATGCCCAAAGAGCTAGAAATCTGTGCATATCCTTTGACCCAGCAATATTGCCACTAGATCTATACCCCGAAGAGATCAAAGTAAAGGAAAAAGGACCCATAGATACAAAAATATTTATAGTAGCTCTTTTTCTGATGGCAAAGAATTGGAAACTGAAGGGATAGCCATCAGCTAGCGAATGGCTAATCAAGTTGTGGTACATGATTGTGATGGAATCCAGCTGTGCTCTAAGAAATGATGAGCAGGATAGGAACACTTAAAAACTGATACAAAGTAAAGTTAGCAGAACCAGTAGAACACTACCCAGTAACAGCAATATTGTAACAATAATCAACTATGAAAGACTTAACTACTCTGGTCAAAACAACAATCTAAGACAATTCTGAAGGAGTCATGATGAAAACTACTATTCACCTCCAGAGACAGAACTGATGAACTGAATGCAGCTTGAAGAATTCTTTTTTTGGTTTTTTTTGTGTGTATTTCTTGCTTTTTGTTGTTTTTTGTTTTCTTTTTGGCCACATGGTTAATACGGAAATACGTTTTGCATGATTTCACAAGTATAATTGATGACATATTGTTTGTCTTTTGAATGGGTAGGGGAGAGGTGGGGGAGGAGAACTTGGAACTCAAAAAAATTTTTAATGATTGTTAAAAGTAAATAAATTTTTTTAAATTAAATATATTGTGTCCAAGATGAGATTTGAACATGAATTCTCGTTTTTACCACTATACCACCCTAACTGCTATAAAAAGAATTATTATTGCAGCCCATACCTAAAGAAAAGTACAGTCATGTGTGGCAGTGGGACATATATAAATATACAATCATGGATTTAAATCTGGAAGACACCTTCCAACTCTGTCCTTCCACAGATGATGAAATGGAAGCACAGAGAGGTTAAGTATTCGCCCAGGGTCACACAACTAACAGGTGATCAGAGGTAGATTTGAAACTAGAACTTTCAAGTCCAATTCTAGTACTCTCTCCACTATACCACACTGCTTGTAATAAAAAGAAGTATCAGATATAGTCCATGCCCTGAAGGTTCTTATATTCATAGATGCAAAATGACATAGTTAAGAAATCCCTGGACTTCAGGAAGACCTAGATTCAGAGCTCCCTTCAGACACTCACTAACTGTGGGACCCTAGGCAAATCCCTTAACCTCTTAAAGCATCAAACTCCTAAGCTGGAAAATGGATATTACAATAATAGTACTTACTTCACAAGGTTGTACGAAGATAGAATTTGATAATGTATGTAAAGTACTTCTCTAGCTATATTATTATTATTACCATCTAGCTGGTCATAAGAGGACAATAAGTGAGAGAAGATTATAAAGGTATCCAAGTGTGTGGTAGGGACATTAAATGTCATAGATAGCCTGGAAACACAATTTCTATATGAATGGGAGCCATAAACTGGAAAGTAAATCCTTTCACCACGTGTAATCCCAAACTTCTTTCAAAACACAACTTAAGTGTTACCTTCTCCATGAGGCATTTCCTGATGATCCTAGGTGTTGGTACTTGCCCCTATCCCCTCAAACCATTTTCTATGTATTCTGCATATGTTTTGCATATAGGTATCTGCATACATATTTTTCCCCTAGGTAGAATGTACCTACCATGAAGTCAGGGACTGCAGCATTTTTGTATAGGTATCCCTAGCACTTGGCATAGTTCCTGGCACATAAGGATCAACCCAATCAACACTTATTTCATTGCTGTGTTGAAAACAGAATAAAATAAAATGAAGTCATGGTGAATCCCTGAGCCCAATAAGGGGATTAGAGGTCATCTATTCTATTGGTGTCAGACTTAAAGGGAAACATCCCTGTGGCTATATATTGACTTAGAAAACCACAAATTAAACATTACCTACATTTGACTGAATTTTTATTTATTTTGTTAAACATATCCCAATTACTAGGGAACAAAACTAGGAGATTTGCTGACTATAGATTTGTCTGACATGTCAGGCTAGTACAACCCCATCATTTTAGAAATGAGGAAACTGAGACTTGAGTGTGTATAGAATAATTGTACATATAGATACCTATTTGTATCTAGTGGTAGCCATGGGGGGAAGGGGAAGAAAAAAAGGGGAGGTAGCTAGGTGGTATTGTGGATAGTGTGTTGGGCCTGAAGTCAGGAAGACGACTCATCCTGAGTGCAAATCTGGCTTCAGACACTTCCTAGGTGTGTGACCCTGGACAAGGCACTTAACCCTCTTTGCCTCAG